CCCGATGTGGGACTCGATCCCAGGACCCTGGGATCATGACCTGAGCCGAAGGCAGACGCTTAACGACTGAGCCACCCAGGCGCCCCAGGTTTGGATTATTTTATGCATTATTTTAGTGAACATTCTCATAGTGAAAAATTGAGCCTATTTTAATTATTTTGTTAAATTTCCCAAGAGTAGAATTGTTGGGTCAAAGGCTATGTGTATTTTTAGAGCTTTTGATGTTGTTAAGTGGCCATCTAGAAATGTTAAGCCAATTATTACTCCCACTAGCAGTTTATCCAAGTGCCTGCCTACTGAAGGAACATTAAACAATTATTCAGTAATCTTAAGATTTGTTGAATGAGTTATAAGCAATGCATTTTAATTTTATTTGTGCTCTTCTAGATTTTTCACATTTTTTATAAGAAAGCTTATACATGACTATACTCTGATCAACAATACAGCGAGGATCACATTAAATTAGAAAATAAAAAGGGAATTTTGACAGTATGAGGAATTCTTACAGCCATGCAGACTACTTTTCAGCATGAGTGGCTAAGGTGTTCTGAGGCCAGTTCACCAGAGAACTGCCTTCCTGACCTGGTGGCTCTCTGGATAAATTTTTAGGTATACCCTCTATTCTCTGAAATCCTATTTCTTTGTTAGCCAACACTTAGGAACCATGTAGATTTAGAAAAATGTGGATTCCTTATCATGTGAACTCAAGAAGACTGTATGTTTGAACAACGAGGGATTCTTGGTATGAATTGTGGTTGTTGCTTTGGAGGGAACAGCAAAGGGAAGTGTGTGATTTGATTTGGATTTTGAAGGGTCTGGGAAGGATTTTCTGAGGAATTGGTAATTTAAACAGAGATCTGAAATGTGAATAGGGAATTCTCCATATGTTACATCCTTCCAGGTGGAGAGGACAGCCTCCAGCCTTCATTCAACAATGCCTGCCATTTTGAAGGCCACACCAGTCTGTGACTCGACCCTCCCCTTACCTTTTTGCCTTCATCTAGCAACTTCTTGACTATTCCTAATGTTCCTCAAGAACGTTGGCTCCTGTTTTGCTTCTTTTCTTTCCACTGTGTCTTCTAACATTGTTTTTGAGTTGTTGGCTCTGCAGGCCTCTGAACCTCACCCTCCCTTCACGGAATCTTTTCTGGGAGTTTTACTTCCAGTTACTTCAGCTCTCCTGAGGCTTGCCCTCTCCCATATGACACTTGTGGAATCTCTGCACACATCCTGTCCTTCCCTAGGTCTCATTCGTTCTCTACTGGTTCTTGTTCTCTTCAGGCACTTTGGTATTCTCTGGCTTCCTCTTCCCTCCCTCACTCTTTGTACCCGCTGTGGGTACCACAGGGAGTCATGTGACTGTCCTCTTACATTTTGATTTCCTCACTGAACTGTCTGGGTGACTTACCAGCCTTCTTCAGTGGCACAGTCCTGTTTTTTAATTTTTCCGCGTTTTTTTGTCCCATTACACTGGCTGGAGAGAAACCAGGTATCAAAGTTACTTTCTCCATCACCCATTTACAAGTTCTGGGCTCCGCCAGACCTTTGACTTTTTTTTTTCTTCCCCTTATTAAGTGAGTCCTTTCACTCCTCTTTCCTCCAGTGTCCTCCACCTCTCCTCTCCACCATGACTTCCACATCTTAGTTCATTAAGAAAACAAGTCGTCAGATAGATGCTCCCTCAACTTCCTGCCCTTCTCCCTCATCGAGCATTGAGAAACAGTGGCTATCTGTATACATCTCTGCCCACTCTCTTCCACAGAGGGTATGAGGCAACCCTGCAGATAGTCTGTGTGGAACTGTTTTCACACATCCTCAAAGTTTTCCTGCCAGGGCCACGGGAGAACCGCTTCCTGCTCCCTGTGGCATCGTTAGGACTTCTTCCTTTTTTTTTT